CACGGGGCAGTGCCCGGGCACCAGGGTGCAGTGGTGATGCCGTTGGTGATCCCCAGGCACGTGGCACCCTCGGCATCACCAAACCACCATCGCCCCGGCGCAGCGTAGCGGCAAATCTTCCCTCCCTGCACCTGCAGGAGAGGCTGCGGCTGCCAAAATCTGTGTAGCACTTCCATCACTGCCCGTGCCAAGTGCTTAGTCAGTGACTTGCAGCCATGCAGTGGTTTGACTTTCCTTAGAGCTCTGGAAGTGGCCGTCAGCGTGCCGAAGGCAGCTGGAGCACGGAGCCCAGCTGGGCTCTCAGAATAACCCCAGTTCCCAGAGCAGGAGAGAAGGAAGGATGGCTGCCCTGGCCACCAGATCCACAGTGAGATTTGCAGCCAGTCTGGGGGCAACAAGAGCCAGGAGAGCTCATTAATGGCTGAGAATTAATGACAAGGAACATTCCTCCACTAACAAGGCAGAGAGAAGGGAGCTGAGTGCTTCCAATTAAAAATATCGGCTACAAAAGGAGATGGGCATGGTGGGGAGGAGAGCAGAGCTCCTTCATGGCCACACTGCCAGTTGAGCACCCAGTGTGTCCCTGGCTGTCCTCTCTGCTGGGATCCCTGGGGGGTGGCAGGGACCACTGAGCACCTGCAGTCACCATCCTGCCCTCTCCATGCAGGTGCCATCAGGGGTAGCACATCTTTGCTCGGCCATCCTGAGCCCCACCACCATCCCTGGGACACCCCAATGTCCCCTCTGTCTCCCCATGGGCTGCCCAGGTGATGGTTGTGCCGTGTGGGCTCACAGGGCTGCCCTGGTGTCTCACAGCCCAGCTCTCCATGGCTCTCAGAGCAGTTTGCACCCCACAAACACCTGGATTACGATGCCAGCCCCAGGGAAGGGGGGCACACACAGGCCCTGGCACCGTGGGCTGCACTGTGCAGCGGGAGCCGCAGCGTCTGCCATCGACACCAGCTATAAACAGCGCCTGCCGGAGTAAACACGGCGGCGGGAGCNCAGTGCCTGAGGGGCTGGTGTGGGTGACAATCCCCCTGGCCCTGTGTCCCCAGTGCCCACGGGGCTGTGGGTGACAATCCCCCTGGCGCTTGTCCCCAGGCCCTGACCAAGGGGACAGGTCCCATGGGAAGCAGGCTGCAGGCACGGCGGTGCCCAGGAGCTGTGGCTGCCATCCCCAGCGGGGAGCGGCGATGTGAGCAGACAGCCTGCACAGGAGGCCGATCCCCAACGTCTGCCTGGGAAATGTCAACATTTTCCGCTCCAGCGCCCTGCTCAGATCCGCTCAAGATGGTGCAAATCGCAGCCTGGCCCGCGGCTGCCTCGGGGGCTTCCCTCAGGCACCTCCTGGCCCAGCTCGGCACCTCGGCCACGAGCAGGGGAGCAGGGCACCGGGGCCAGCACGGGGACACCAGCACAGTGCTCACCCATGCAGGAACACCAGCCCAGTGTCATCCATGCAGTGACACCACAACCCTGGTGACGAGGATGAGGAGGCAGCTGGGCTGCTGTGGCCGTACATCCCCAGGGCATGGCCTCCTGTTTTGCTACTCTCCCTGGCATTGCCCTGGCACAGCAGAGGGAACAAGTGGCATCACATCGTGCTGCTGCCCCGCTCAAGGGGGATCTCAGGGCGAGGAGAGCCAGGGGCAGCTGCTGCCCAGCCCCACAAGCAGCACTCCCAGGGCAGCACCCCCTGTGCAGGGCCCCAATGCCTCCCTGCAGCCTCATTAGTGTCATTAGCAGGGTGGTCTGCAGCCCCTTTCTGCTGCTCCCACCCCTGGATGTGGCTGTGCAGCATCACCCGTGCCTGACGGGGTCACGGCTCTCCCACCCAGCTCCCCCAGGGCTGGGAAAAGTGGGGTGAGATGTGGGCACAGCCCTGGCTCTGCCTCCAGCACCAGCTCTGGGTGCGGGCAGGGCTCAGCCATGGGGGCTAATGGGGCCAGAGCCCTGGAGCTGGCAGCTTGGGGAGCCTGGCATTGCCACACAGGCACTGGGCACTCCCACAGCGGGGGNAGCACCCCTCCCTCTCTGTCACAGGTCCCGGAACCTGCAGTGCCAGCGCATTTTCCAGGTGAATGCTCCCATCAACTGTGTCTGCCTGCACCCCAACCAGGTGAGGAAGCTGCCTCTGGGGTTCCCAGCTCAGAATCCTGAGGAACAGCTTAATGCCCATCCCATTCCACCCCTGCCATGGCAGGGACACCTTCCACTGCCCCAGGCTGCTCCAAGCCCCATCCAGCCTGGCTTTGGGCACTGCCAGGGATGCAGGGGCACCCTGTTCCTGTGGCTCCTGTCTGAGGGGCTGCAGAGATGTACCCCAGCAGAAGTTGGGGTACCACAAAAATGGCCTGGGGGCTTCACATGGTGTGTTTGTGCTGATGACCTGGTGGCTGTTGCAAAGGGACAGCACAGGGGCTGCACTGAGCTCATCCCATGGCAGCAAACACGCTCTTGGAGCAGCCTCTGGCCCCCAGCATCCCTGGGGGTGGCATGGGAGCAAAGCTGGCAGAGTGGGGGCAGCTGGGGAGCCTGAGGGTGACAACAGTGCCAAGGAAGAGCATCCTGGGGCCTTTGGGTGGGGTTTGGTTGAAGTTCCCCAGTGGGTTCAGCAGCTGTTGCTGAGCAGAGGGAGAGTGGGGGCACTTGAAGAGGCTGAAGGGAGCAGGAGCAGGGAAATCAATAGGGATCAATCAGTGCTAATGGCTGGGCTGGGCTTGCAGGGCTGTGGTTTCGCCTGCAGACAGGGCCGTGCAAACCTCTGTAAAGTCCTCAGTAATGGAAATGTTCCCTTGCAGTTCATTTTGCAAACCAGGAATATCAGGCTAAATTTGAGATCAGTTATTTGGCCCAGACTATCCAAATCATGTAGGATATCCACTGTCCTGTAGTGTCAGTGGTGTGAGAGTGTGTTATGTTAAATGAATATTGCTGAACATAGGCCTTGGATGTGAAATAATCCCTGACCACAGTGCTGCTGAGGTGCAGAGTGCTGGTTTGTGAGCAGAAGGTGGTTAATTAGACCAAAGGTGGCAGCATTTGTTTGGGCAGCTCAGTGGCTCTGCAGTTCCCTCTGCAGAGATGCTGATCCAATTATTCAGGGATTCCTCACGGCCTGAGTAAAGCCATGAAAACTTTGGACTCAGCATTTACACCTGCTGAGAGGGGGTGAGGAGCCCAGAAGAGCCTTTTGTGCAGCCAGATAAATGCATTGATGGTGTTTGTCTCCTCAGAAGCAGCCTGTGCTCCCAGGGACAGGATTAGCTGTGCCTGATGACCTGATCTCCTCTAGGGATCCTGCTAAAATTATGGACAGCGCAGGGCTGTCGATAAGGGCCTGGTTGGAGTGGAGACACACCAGCATTGTCTTCTGCTCTGAGCACGGGATCAGAGCCAGGACTCCTGCCCTTGGCTCTTGTCCTTCCCCTGAGAAGGGGAGAGACACAGAAAAACCCACTTCAGGTTGTGTTTTCTGCTATCTGCACCCTTGAGTGCTTCGGTTGTTCAGCGGCCAACCTGCCCTTAATGCTGCCTCTCAGACGTGCTGAAAACCACTTGGCTGCTGTGGCTGTCGTTTGGAGCCATGGCTGTGCCACAAACCTGGAACTGGGACAGCTCTGCTTGCTCTGGGGTTTGGGAAATCAGCAAACCCTTCTGGGGAGGGAAACTGCTTTTTGCAGAGTGTCACAGGAGGGACAGGCTGTGGGACAGCCCTGAGCTAGGGAGAGAGGAGGCAGGACAGGATGGTGCTGCTTAACCCCAGAGCAGGGCTGCAGTGGGGCTGCAGGGGCACAGCATGGGTGCCAGCTGCAGGGGCACAGTGTGGGTGCCAGCTCCAGGCTGCAGTGGTGCTTCAGGGGCGCAGTGTTGGTGCCAGCTGCAGGCTGCAGCTGCAGTGGTGCTTCAGGGGTGCAGTATTGGTGCCAGCTGCAGGCTGCAGCTCACAGTGCCCACAGAGCTGTGTGCCCTGCAGGCAGAGCTGATCGTGGGTGACCAGAGCGGGGCCATCCACATCTGGGACCTGAAGACTGACCACAACGAGCAGCTGATCCCCGAGCCCGAGGTGTCGGTGAACTCGGTGCACATCGACCCCGACGCCAGTTACATGGCAGCCGTCAGCAGCTCGGTGAGCCCTGCTGGGGTGGCAGCTGGGCTGGATGGGCATCCCCCAGCCCGGGCACAGCCTGGGCACAGGTCCCTCTGTGCCTCTGCTGCAGGGACACTGCTACGTGTGGAACCTGACGGGCGGCATCGGCGAGGAGGTGACACAGCTCATCCCCAAGACCAAGATCCCGGCTCACAACCGCTACGCCCTGCAGTGCAAGTTCAGCCCCGACTCCACGTGAGTGTGGAGCCCTCAGTGCCCTCCCAGGGCAGGCAGGGGCCAGCTGTGCCTCCAGCTGTGCCCCCAGCTGTGCCCCCAGCCGTGGCTGCTGCTGGCTGCACACTGCAGGTTCACAGGGAGCAGTGGGACACAAGGCAGGGCATGTGGCACCGCAGCATTGCTGTCTGGGGTGTGCTCCCTGAGCTCAGCCAAGTTTGCAGCCATGGGCTGTTCTCCAGCTGGGATCCAGCTGCTGCAGTGTGAGCTCCTTCACGGAGTCTGTTCAGCTGGAATCTGCTCAGTCTGACAGTGCAGGTGTAAGGAGATCTGATTGCACTGGGGACAGGTCTCCAGGCTGTCACTGGCCCTGGCCCAGGTCTGTGTAACCAGAGGCCCACAGGGGGACAGTGACTGATGAGATTGCCCTCAGATGTCTCCTTCTTGCAGGCTCTTGGCCACCTGTTCTGCAGATCAGACATGCAAGATCTGGAGGACTTCAAACTTCGCTCTGATGACAGAGCTGAGCATTAAGAGCAACAACCCCGGGGAGACGTCGCGGGGCTGGATGTGGGACTGCGCCTTCTCCGGGGACTCCCAGTACATTGTCACAGGTCAGGCTGCACCTGGGCTGGGCCAGGCCTGAGCAGTGACCCTGGCTGGGACACGGCAGAGCCTGGGGCACTGGGGCTGTGAGGGGAGCAGCCACTGCTGGCTGGAGCATTCTGTGCTGCTGCTCTGGGGCAGCTGTTGGAACTGGAGAGATCTCCAGTGTGCTGTTCATCTCACAGCCTGTTAGTCCCTTGAGCACACCTGTGGTGATTTCCACACTCAGTGCTCTCCAAAAGAGCTAAACCCCACATGCAGAGAAGCGCACTGAGCTGCTCTGCCTTGCTGGTCATCACCAGCCCTGAGGATGGCTGCATGAAGCAAGAGCAAAGTATTTCTCAGAATAATAGTAAAAGAGAAACTTGAAAGGTTATATATATGTATATATCCCACTCTTTCCACTCTGTGTTCCAGCCTCGTCTGATAACCTGGCCAGACTGTGGTGTGTGGAGACAGGGGAGATCAAGAGGGAGTACAGTGGCCACCAGAAAGCCGTGGTCTGCCTGGCCTTCAATGACAGCGTCCTGGGATAACGTGTGGCAAGGACAGCACCTCTGCTCGTTTCCCCTTGCCTTGCCTTGCCTCTCCAGAGCCTGGGACACGCTCTGTACCCATCCCCTCCTGTGTGGAGAGGGCTGGGGCTCTGACAGGGGCAGCTGCAGCTGCCTGGGCTGAGACCAGGCTTCAGCTCCAGGCTGGACATTGCTGACACGTGTGTGGCCCTGAGGGAGGCAGGGTCCCACTGCAGGGACACGGGTACAGCTGCAGGAATCCCTGGGGCACTGGCTGCTGACAGCTCTGGATGTTCCTGTACCCCAGAGTGGGAACAAAATAAACCTCAGCCTTTGCCAGTGGTGGGAGAGGCTGAGCAAAGAGAAGCAGCTCTTGTCTTGGTTTGCAATCCCTTTATTCAAAGTGTTTCACAGAGTGCCTTGGAGAGCTGCTCTCCTAAAGCCAACCACCCCCAGATGTAACAACAACCACCTTGTGCTGAGCACAGCCTGGAGCCCCAAAACTCCAGCTGCTTCCTGGGATTCCTCTGGGCCTGGCTCTCCTAATTCCTGTGAATGAGGCACAGGAGCAGAGCTGCAGTGTCTGTGCTGACAGTGCTGAGCAGAGGCCTCCTGCTTCTCTAAACTCTCCTGATGCTGTTTCTCTAAACTCTCCTGATGCTGCTTCTCTAAACTCTGCTGACCTGCAGCACAGAATCAGCAGGAAGCTCTGGGGATGCTGTGGGTGTTCCTTTCCTCGTGGAGGTCAGAGGCTGTTGAGGAATCCAGTCCAAGTGTGAGGGCACAGAGGGGCTGTGGCTGCAGCACTCACTCGGGCAGGTAATAGAAGCAGATGGAGACACAGATGTTGCTGGGGAAGCAGATGTCAATGCACAGGTAGATGAGGCGCTGCCTCCCCGGCCCTGCCAAGGAGCAAGGACAGCAGTGAGAGCAGTGCTGTGGTCCCCTGGGATGCTTTGGTCCCGCTGAGTCCCCGGGGAGCTGAGCAAAGGGAAAGCCTCAGGGAATGACCTTTCTCATTCAAGCTGGAGTCAGATGGAGCAGGCTGACAGCTCAGCAGGCTGCTTTGGCTGAGGATGAAGGTGGCAGGGATTAAGCAGTGATGTCTCAGGGAAGCTCTGGGTGCTGGCTGTGCTGTGCTGTGCTGCTGGGGCAGCTCTGAGCCCATCCCAGTGCCACGGCTCAGGACAGGGGTGGGTACGAGCCAGCACTCAGGGGTGGTGGACAGTGGTCTGATTTTGCACTAGAGGTCACCTGTCCTGGCCCTTGGCAGCCTGTCCTGGGGGGCATCAGCTGCTGTGCAGCACAGGCTGATCCTCTTAGAGGTGCTGGCAAAGCTGCAGCCTGCCCTGCCAGGGGAGTGCCCCACTTACCGCGGGCTCTGCGCACCCAGAGGATGGAGGAGTGCTCACACAGGCTCTGCACAGCCTCCCCCAGCACCCTGGGCTCCAGCTGCTGCCCGGCCACAATGCCCAGGAACTCCCTGTAGAACTTGGTCTGGTTGTTGGGCTGGAGCAGCTGCTCGGCCTGAAAGAAACGGCGCCGTTGGTTCCTGCAAGGCAGGCACTGTGTGTGTCCCCAGAGCCCTGCCCAGCTCACAGGGCACCCAGCAGTGCTCTGTGCCCCAGCAGGTGTCTCCTGCCAGCTGCCCTGTCCAGCTCCCAGCTCTCATTGCCTGTCTGTGGGCTGCTGGCAACCCCAGCACTCCCAAGTTTTATTCCCATTTAGGAGCCTCAGGGCTGGGCAGGTGCTTTCCTCTCCCTGCATCCCTTTTGGGAGCCTGTGTTCCTACACTTCTCTGGGAGTAAGGACCAAGGAGCCCCCAGGAGGAAAATGGAAATGGATAGCAGATGGCAGGGGCACAAAACCATGGGGCTTTCTGTCTCCTGGCAATGGAATCTGCCCCTGCCCAGGCATCCACTGACACTTTGTTCTGAGGGTCCTTGTGCATGATTGCCTCCAACCTTGTCCTTCCCTGGCAGTTGGTAACAAACCCCTTTTGTTTTTCCTCCCCCAGATTTTTGAGCAGGTAACAGAACCCGGTGGGAGCAGGTCCTGCAGGAGCCCTGCCATTCACCTCCAAGGGACACATCCCCTGCCCCAGGCTGCTTCCCACAGCAACCAGGGCATGGATAAAGGCAGGAGCTGGGAGCCCAGCCTGGGGCACAGCTCTGCTCCTGTGAGCAATGAATGCCCCACAACAGGGGCTGGGAGAGCCCTGCCCTGGCTCCTTGGGGAAAATCCCCACAAGGAGAGCACTCAGTGACCCAGTGCAAAGCCCAATCCACCCCCCAGCTGTCCCGGGAGTGCTGCAGCAGCTGCTCACGCTGTGCTCGGAGGTGTTGAGAGCCATCTGCAGGTCCCAGGGCTCCATCCTCCTCAGGTAGCAGGCTCGCTGCTCCAGCGGCTTGTAGCACACGTAGCCCTGTCAGATGGACAGATGTGGGCAGATGTGCCCTTGGAGCAGGCAGCACTTGCCCACCCTGGCCCAGGAGAGCCCTGAAGAGCCCATTCCCTTTGCCCTGCTCTGAATTGATGATTGAAGGTGCAGAGGGAGGCAGGGCTGCCCCAGCACTCACGTTCCTGCTGTCGTACAGCACCACGGCGCTCAGGTTGCTCCGGGAGGTGATGTAGTAGGTGACAGTGCTCCTGGCCTTGTCCACCACGGCTGTCTGGTTCCTCAGCGGGTCCTGCTGGCCCTGCAGGGTCACTCGGAGGAGCTGGGAGCCAGCCTGGGCACGAGGAGAGGGAGGGCAGCACCCACCAGCAGCTGCTCTGTGTGTGTGTGCAGCATCTCCCACCCACAGCCCCGGCTGGCCCTGTGCTCCCCCTGCTCCTGGCTGGCTCAGCAGTGGGGAGGAGCAGGCTCTGACCCAGGGGAAGGGTGATCCAGCACTCCATCCTCACCCCCAGTGCCCCTCGTGCCAAGGGCAGCAGGGGCTGCAGGAAAGGGCCAGGACTCCCTGCCCCTCCTGCACCTCCCTGCTCTGGCCAGGGACTGACCCAGCCAGACTCAGCCCACCCATCCCTCCTGGAGCTGCTTCCCACACAGCCCAGCTGCCTGCCCAGATCAGCATCCCTTACCTGGGCAGAGCTGGGGGAGAAGCTGAGAACCCCCACGACACTGACACCAACAACTGCAAAAAACAGCAAGGCAACGGACAAGATGATCCAGAAGGTCCTGGAGGGAGCTGGGAGGTGTGCTGGGGCCCTCCTGTCCTGGGAGCCAGGCAAAAGAAGGAGGAACAGGAGTTAAAATTGACTCTTCTGCCAATTCTTCTGCATCAAACAAGTTTCCGGCTCATGACACAAACCCTAGTGCACTCTGGTTGCAGTGCAGAGCTGCCAAACCATTGCAGCACCTGGAGTAACCCCACAGTGCTGGAATTCAGATCCAGCATCCTGGTACCCAGCACTGGCACCGCCAGCAAAGCTGCAAAGCCCCAGGGCAGGGCTGGAGCAGCAGCTTTCCAGACACAGGGAACAACAAATTAAATTATTGTGGTTTACAGCAGAAATCCCCAGCGGGACAGTCAGCATTGGAATCAGACCCTGTGTGGAGTGATCCTGCTTCTGTCCCCTCCCTGTGCTGGGCTCTGCTGGATTTTCTTGCTAAATTATTCTCCATGAGACCAAGGAAAAGAGCTTGGCAGCGCTGTGACATTTCTATTGGCTCTATTAATTTACTCTAATTCTTATATTGAAGCAATTAAATTTAACTTCATGGCACATAACGGGATTTTTACAAAGCAGAAAATGTGCTTTCGATAATCTCAAACACAGCCCACATTTAAAAAATAACCTGTTTCTCAATCCTCTGAAGGACAGAGACATTCAATCCATGCCCAGGATTACATGTGCTCCAGCTGCATGAGGATGGGCTCACCCAGCCTGGGGACAGTTATGGATCTTTATTGGAAACAGGGAACTCCCAGGCTGTTCACTGAGAAAAGCAGTGAGGTAAAACTGCACCTATGTGAAATCCTATCAATTCCAGCAGAGCAGAGCCCCAGCCCTGCAGTGCCTGGCAGATTTTCAATAACCAATGGAATATGGAATTCCCTCTGGTGGGAAAGGTGCAGAAAAAAGCAGCTCCCAGCCCTCAGCAGGGCAGAGCTCACCCCCATCCCGAGCTGCCTGGCCGTGGCTCCTCTGCCCTGGAACCTGAGCAGGTAAACCCGGGCACCCCCAAGGCACCTCAGCCCGGGTGACAGCAGCTCCTGGCAGGAGCTGGGCTGGGGATCAACAGAACCCTCCCAGGATCCGTGGGAATGGCAGGAGCTCTGCCCCTTGGATGGGATCAGGCAAGCAC